TTAATAATTATTTAATATCATAATTAATATAATTTATTTTCAATTTATTATATACTTTTTTATTATAATATTTGTTTTTTATTTTCAATAGTTCAAATAATTTTTCTGTACAAAATCGACAAAAAAAATTATCGTTGATAACGATCGTAGCGGAGCTTGAAAGCTCGAAAGCTCGCCAGTCTATGATACGATAAAAGCATAGCAGCAGCGCAGTACAAAAGCTCATGTTGGCTACTATTTGTAAAGCTGTCTAACTAATGCTTTGATACAACTGCATATTGCACATTGCACATTGCTGGAATATTACAGATAGCTTTCCACATTCGTTTTCCTCACGTTAAGCTTTGGGAAACAGAGAGCAAATTTTGGAATCATTGAGAGTATTTTTGATCTTTGTATAGCACAGTCTATTTGATGCAGTAAATATTAAAATTAGAACACACGCTCTATCTGTTTACCTTTCATCTTTATTTTTTGCCTACTGTTCATACTTTTAATTTATCTACCTGTTTACCTGTGTACCAGTCCAACTGTGTATCAGTCATTCTTATATAAATCTATAATAATGCTTTGTAGTGATCATTTTTGACCACCAAACGTCTTATTTTTCATTTTTTTCCTGTAACTGCTGGATCTGCTCTCAGAAAAACTCAATAAATTCTTCAAGTCCTCACGACTGAAATGTTTTTTGAACCATTTAATTTGGATGGTTTGTTCTCTCAACAATTGCCAACTATGATTTGTAATCAATTGTAATGTAGTTTATATGATTTTCACACTATGATTAAAATAGTTAAGTTGGATCTATGTGTCCCTATTACAAAATTAAACTAGTTGGTATTGGTATTTTGCCTTGAGACAAGTTACATGAACTTCTCAATATGTGCAAATAATCTACTTACAATAAAAAATAAATTAATTTATGAGTGATTAAAAGTATTTCGAGTGGATTTATTACACATCGTTGAAAACGAACAAACACGTTAACTCGGAGTATTTTCAAAAAGCAAATTTTCTCAAATCAATATTATTTATAATTGAACCAGTTTCTGTAGGACTCTAATGGTTTAGTATACTTATTAAGACCGAGTACTCTATTGTTATATCAAGTGAATTGTCTAATTTTAATTTTAACAAACGTGAAAAAAATACTCATTTTTTCAAACTTTGATGATTTTTTAAAATTAAACTACTTGTCATAAGGCCGTAATATTTCAGTAAGTTCCATAAGTCCATGATATATATCGCCAAAAAAGTTCCATAAAAATTTACTCAATTTTTTTTTCAAGTTAATTACAAGAAAATGGCTCGATAGATTTTCACCTAAAACTTATCAGAATCATTCCGAACTAATCTAATCTTTTGAACAGGTTTTGATTTTTTAAAATCGATTCGGTAGTTTGAGCTTAAATGTGAACGAAAGGTTTAACACTTTTTTTCAAATTACAAAGAAACGGCTCGGCCGATCGTCTCACAAAATGTCTGACAAATTATAGTCCTCATTGAGATACATTAAATGGCTTTTAAATTTTTGAAATCGGTTCAGGCGTTTTTGAGACAACGTCGATCAAAGGTTTAATTTTGACAAATGCCAAAAAAACGATACTAATTTTTGCAAATTTTGACGAATTTTCAAAATTGAACGACTTGTCGTAGGGCCGTAATATTTTAGTATGATCTACAAAACTATGATATCTACCCTAAAAAAAATCATAAAAATCGATTTTTTTTAAAAAAAACTTCATTATAAGAAAACGGCCGGGCCGAGCTTTATTAAAAACTAATCAGCATGATTCCCAAAATCAATATCTATCGACCGGTTTTTGAATTTTTAAAATCGATTCAGAATTGCGGGCTAAAACGTGGACGAAGTTTTTTTCACTTTTCTGCGACTTACAAAGAAACGGTGCGGCCGATCGTCGCACAAGACTCAGAAACGCTAGTCCTCATCGAGATACATCGAATGGCTTTTAAATTTTTGAAATCGATCCAGCCGTTTTTGAGAAAACGTCGATTTGCGGCAAAAAATCTGTTCACACACACGCACACACACACACAAACTTTTTCCAAATTTGCTCTCATTCGATTCAGAATAGCTTGAACCGTCGAGAAAACAAAATTAGCGAATCGGATTTTTTGATGAAAACATAAACTTCTCCTTTGGCAAGTTAAAAATTTGATGAGCATATGTCTAATAAATAAATTTTGACCGCCAAATAGATTTTTTTTACTTCTTTTACGAAATCTTCAAAACCGCTAGATCCGCCTTCTCAAAAATTTAATCAGTTTTTCATCTTGTTAGACATGTTGATACCGATAAAATGTTTTTTTGAATCATTAAAATCGGACGCTCCGTTCTCTTAAAAACTGAGTTGCCGTTTTTGGCATTTCTTGCCCCGTATACGAAACGGCTCGACCTGCCTTTATTAAAAACTAATCAGCATACCCCTCCAAAGGGTATAATTAAGTTTCGTTTATTTAATTCTCATGTAAACATATATAAACACTATGGTCCAATTTATAATCATTTATGTTTTGCCTATAAAATACGATTAATGAAAGTTATGGTACTTAAAATAAAATATTTTTAGAGCACTGATAAATGGATTTGAATAATTTAAAAAACATTCGATTCATATTAAAAATCAGTACCAGCTCTGATGATCATATAATTTTTTTTTCACTTTACTCAGAATTTGGAATAAATTATTGGTAAAATTAGACCGAACAAAATATTATCACAAATTATATATTTCGCACATCGACTCCATCTTCTTAAACTGAGCTAACCACTTCGCAACATCCAAGAGAGCTTTTATGAAATTTAATAATAAATTTCCGAAGCCTGTTTCTATCCGAAGTACAAGGGCAGACATTAAATTCGTTACGTTCATGAATAATTGATGATGTGTAATCTAAGCCCCTTGTTCGACATGACAATGTTTGTGTAAGGCCAATGCTAATATGTGCTCATAATTTCCTCATAGAACTGATTTACTTTGTATCTTCAGTAATTTATCAGTGAATTATTATACTAGGTCGTGGTTAATAAATCCGTAAAATTAATCGAATATTTTTGTGGTACATTTGATAAAAATCAATAAAGTAATAATAAAATTTATTTTAGCACTAAATGGATTTATTCTGGTAATTTCTACCGAAGTCATCAATTTCACTGCATCAAAGGAATTCATTTATTGAGCCTATTGATGGATTCGTGCCTATTATGAGATTTGCATGAAATATTTTAGATATCTGTCATTCAAATTGTTTGACCGATGCAAATGCGAATAGGTATTGTTGTGAATCGAGCCGTTTGTTTATAATTAAAGCAATTATAATAGGATTGCAAATAGAATAAGTAGTCATTAATACATATTTGATAAAAGCGAAAATAATAATTTTAACTTAGGTGTTTAATTAGATATTTGTTTAATTTGGTTTATCAAAATCGATAATGTGTAATTGTTCAAAATTTGAATTTAAATTTGTTTTATAACTAATATTTGTGACCTGTCCATGTAATTTTCTATTTATCATATTTAATCTTTTTTATATTGACTTCTCATGGGGTAAGTTATTGTAATCGTCTAAAAAGCAAAAATGAAATTTTTTGCATATCTTCACGTTTCGAAGGTTTCTGCACAATTTGGAATACCTTAGATAAAATTGATTTGTTAAAAAAAATACTTAACATAAAATATCAAAATTAAAAAAAAGCATTTTTCCAATATTCAATTTTTTCAAATGTTTCAACTTTTCAAAAATGTACAAAAAATCCAGAAACCTCAAAAAAAAATTTTTACCGACCTTTTAAAAATTTAAGTACGGGAAGTTTCAGCAATTTGCATTAAGGCGCCACTAGTTAACTTACCGTAGGGTAAGCAAAAAACTCGAAAATAAAAATGTTTATATATCTTTACGTTCCAAAGGTTTCTAAATATTTTAGCATACCTTAAAAAAAATGGATGTAAGTAAGTGTGTGTGTGCGGATATAAATTTTTGTCGGCAATTTCGGAAACACTGATCAACCTATTTGAATAATTCAAAGAACATTCGATTGATAGGGAGACGTGCTGATTAGTTTTTGGCGAGAAGTTCATTCAAGAAACATTTTACTTGTATTGACAAGATGAGAACTGATTAAAGTGTCCAGTGGTTATGAACTCCCAATAAAAATAAGTTAAAAGGTGTCATGCGGTCAAAAATGATTATTGGACTTATGCTCATCAAATCATCAGATATTTAATAGAGATTTTCATAATGTGTGCACATTTGGTGTAATGTTTTTTTGGGTTCCGTTCCAAGATTTTTAATTACGGCACGGGAATTCCAGAAATTTGCATTAAGGCACGATTCCATGCTCCGCACTAGTTTTTGTTTAATTTGTTTCGTTTTTGATATCATGCTATAACAACTTATGTAAAGGTGCCAATATGTTAAATATCTGCTTTACAACAAAAAATATGACCCTAAAAAAATCTTCTTTGTCCTCCTTTTTGGTAAATTTGAGCATGATCTATGCAGTTCATATTACGTAAATAAATTACGTGCTAATTACCTCATATTCAAAATTATACAATAATATTATAATAGCACAATGTTACTATTATTACATCAAGCCAGACTCTTGATTCACCATGCATTCAATACCATATGGCTGAAAGGAAATTCCAATTAAATTAGCTGAGTAAGTCGCAAGAATCGTCTTTTTGTATCCTAGTCTTTGTTTTGCTGCATTCCTTTCGCAATATTCCGCTGAAGCTAAATTAATAAAGCGGAACGGTATTCTGGTATACGGTTCGGTTCAAAGAAACGAGATTCGAAACCGGAATGAAAAAATTAGACCTTAAGGAAAAAGGAAATTAAAGACAGTATGGTACGGCTCAGAGGAGAAAGAATGCAATAAGATTGTGTGTTTGATATGCTAAGTATGACCTCTGGCACTAGCTGGAATGCTCATTGCTATACAATATTCACATTATAAGAAAAATATAAATATGATACAGGGTAGGGTTGCTCACGTCGTAGTACTGTCTAAGCCTTACGCAGATTATATGATGTATGATACTTTTTTTTAATAAGAAAAAACTAGGTGTAAAAGTGGCAATTTTCCTAAAGACAAGTTTCATGAACTTGTCCTAAATCTACAAGTTTGATTTGATACTATATTGCTTAATATCAATCTGTCCGAGGTTTGTATCAAACTAGAGATAAGTTTGTGCTAGGCTACATGTTAAACTACTACTCCACGAACGACGGACTCTGAATATTCACAATTAAAATTAAGAAAAAAACAATTATGGATTATGTTTACTTATAGTGTTATTTCTTCCTTTTCAGAATTTTCGAATGCGGATTTAAAACAACGTTCTAGAAGATCTCATTCGCGAAGTTCGAAAGGAAGCAATGTCAATTCAATAAGCAGCACTGGCCAAAACGGGGTTTTTGTTACCGGAAATGCAACAAGAGTGGTCGCACAGAGAAACGGGCTGGCGGTTCTTCCTTGTACTGTGAAGAGATCCACCCAAGGAACGGTCAGTAGAAAAAAGTTATAATATAAGTAGATAACAGTTTACTTGACCTCCAGTTTACCTGTCAACTAAATTAAAAGTCCACCAGTTTTTGTGTCCACCAGTTTTTGTGTCCACCAGTTTACCTGTCAACTAAATTATACATTTACCAATTTACCTGTCAACTAAATTATATGTCCACTAAATTACCTGTCAACCAAATTATATGTCCACCAATTCACGTGTTAACAAAATTATATGTCTACCAGTTTACCTGTCAACCAAATTATATGTCCACCAATTCACGTGTTAACAAAATTATATGTCTACCAGTTTACCTGTCAACCAAATTATATGTCCACCAGTTTATTTGTCAACCAAATTACATTTCAACCAGTTTAAATGTCAACCAAATTATATGTCTACCGGTGTACCTGTCAACCAAATTTTATGTCCACCAGTTTACCTGTCAACCAGAATATATGTCCACCAGTATACCTGTCAACCAAATTATATGTCTACCAGTTTACCTTTTCACCGGTTTAACTGTCTGTCAATTCAGTTTATTAGTTTACCTCTTCATCAGTTTAAGTACCAATCTATTCAGATGTTTAACTTCACATAGAAGTCACTTTTTTGTCGAGAAAAGTTGTATGAACGTCATTTTGTACCAAATAAATCTAGTTGATCATAAATTAGTTGTTGATTAATATGCTTATCCTTAGACTTTAAAACAATTTTTTGGTAAAAGCTAAATGTACTTCTCTCAATTATTAACTTCCCGTAGGGCAAATTATAATATTCGCAAAAAACTCGAAAATGAAAATTTTTATATATCTATACGTTTCAAAGGTTTTTGAACCTTTTAGCATACCTTATGAAGAATGGATGTATATGTGTGTGTGTGTGTCTGGATACAAATTTTCGTCGACGATTTCGGGAGCACATATCAACAGATTTGAATAATTAAAGAAAATTCGATTCGTATTGATAAGAAGACGTGCTGATTAGTATTGGCGAAGGCAGGTCTAGCCGTTTTGAAGATATGGAGCAAAAAGTGCAAAAATGTCAGGTTCTGACAGAACAAATAGGCCGATTTGAGTGATTTAAAAAAACATTAGATTCGTATTGATGTAGATGTACTGATTAGTTTTTGGTATAGGCAGGTGCAACCGTTTCGAAAATACAGATCAAAAAGTGCAGAAATGCCGATTAGATCCTCATAGCGTTGTACGTGAGCATGTCGTTATAGCTCAGTTGGTTGGCGCGTCATTGCAATTTTCGTTCGTGTTAGTAGATAAGAAAGTCAAAACTGATCGGGTTCGAATCCCACGTCTGTATTTTTTTAAATACTTTTTATGTTCGTATAGTTGATGCTATATGAACTATTTAAAATTGTTAACTCAGTGCATATATTTCGCAAACGAAAAATTAATGCGTTTGAAATAAAATATGTTCATTCTAACAATAAGTCCGCTTAATTAGATTTTGTTTATATATATTTAATTCAAGCATATATAAACAACGTTGTCTAATCTAACAAGTTTTTACATTTTGTCTACAAGGAACAAATAATGAAAATTCTAGTTTTTATAACATTTATTCATACGTATTTTTGTTGACTGATTATTTTTATTCTTCGAATGTTTAATTACGGTAAGGGAAGTTCCAGCAATTTGCCTTAAGGCTATATGCCATACGTCCCACTAGTTTAATTTCTAATTTGTCATCTTCATATTATTTTCAGGTGACGTGGATTCGCAGACGAGACTTCCAGCTTCTAACCGTCGGCACTGCGACTTATTCTAGCGACGAGAGATTTTTTGTAGAACATGTTCGCCATTTGGGCAACTGGCCTCTTCAAATAAAGTCCGCTAAGCTGGAAGATGCCGGCACGTACGAGTGCCAGATTTCGACGCACCCGCCTGCCAGCATTTTTATACACCTCAAAGTAGTAGGTAAGGAGAGAACTACTTTAACACACATATATATATATATATATATATATATATATATATATATATATGTATAAGACGCATATATAAATCGTATATCATATTTTATATTTACAGAAGCCGTAGCTCAAATCACGGGAGCGCCCGATCTGCACATAAGAGAGGGTTCTACTTTACGACTAGTGTGCTCGATAAAAGGAGCGACGGAAGCGCCTTTATATGTTTTTTGGTGAGCTATCATTTTGTAGTTAACTTTAATAAACTATATATATATATATATATATATATATATATATATATATATATAAATTTTTTTTGTGTGATGCTTGTTACAAGATTCCTCCGAAACCACTTAACCTATTTTTATGCAATCTTCATACTGAACGTCACTAAGAAGGCAACGTCTATTTTCCTTAGGTTTATTTTTTATTTTTCAAACCAATTTTTTTCCATTTTATAATTTGCAACTAAAGAACACATGCATCCCTAAATTTTCACCCTCCTACCAAAAACCCCTATTTTGCAATAATAGTTTTAGTGATCGAATAGCTTTTCACCCCGGCTTTTAGTTTAGCAAATGATTTTGATTAAATTGTAATTTAGATTTTCTAAAACTTATGCAAATTGCTTAAATATTTTCTACTTTATTTTTTCATGGCGCAATTAAAAATAAATACAACACTAATTTTCAACCCTGCAGAATAGTCATTTTAGTAGTCTAATCATTTTTCATCGTTCTCGATAACTGATTCTTTTTTCTTTTGTGTTCATTTTTTATTGAATTTTGATAAAGATTTGCTGAGCTTATAGAAAAGTTTAAATTTATTGGCTCTGATTCTATATCTAATTTTGGCGGCAAAAAGGTTACCAACGATAAAATTAGATACGTCCAAATATCGATCAGTAGATATCTTCAGGTTTTAATATTCAATTTATATATTTTTTGTCCAAATGACTCTTTTTGCAAACCATCCCTATTTCATAATAATTATTTTAGTTGTCTAATTATTTTTTATCTAGCTCAGTAACCAATCAATTTTTTTGTTGAACATTTTTTATTGAATTTTGATCAAGATTTTCTGAACTTATTAAAAAGCTTAAATCTGTCCGTTTTAATAATGCTTATTTTGGCCATAAAATGGTTACCATCGATAAAACTAGATACCTCACAATATCGATCAGTAGGTATATCCAGATTTCAATATTAAAATATACATTTTATGTCAAAATGACTCTTTCTGCAAACCATCTCTATTTCATAATAATCATTTTAGTGCTCTAATTATTTTTTATCTAGCTCAGTAACCTATCAATTTTTTGTTGAACATTTTTTATTGAATTTTGACCAAGATTTTCTGAGCTTATGAAATAGCTTAAATTTATCCGCTCTATTCTCTGAAATATTTTCAACACAATTTTTAGATTTTCGTGATGAAAAGATTGCCATCGATAAATTTAGATTCGTCAAAATATCGATCAGTAAGTATTTTCATATCTTAATATTTATTTTATACATTTTGTTGTCAAAATGAATTTTTTTGCAAACCATCCCTACTTCATAATTAGATCCCTATTACTGCATTATTATTTCATAAGTTATTTTAGTAGTCTAATCATTTTTCATCTAACTCGATAACCGATCTTTTTCTTTGTGAACATTTGTTATTGAATTTTGATCAAGATTTTCTGAGCTTATGAAGAAGCTTAATTTTATCGCCTCTATTTGCTGAAACATTTTTAAACAAATTTTAGATTTTGTTTTGTAAGTTCACGTCGGGAAATATTTATGCAATGAGTGATTATGCAAGTATCTATTGATAATTTTATGCGTCTAGTTTTATCTATTTTATCTTTCACTTTATAAAGAATTGAAATTAAAAAAAATAGTCGCAGGATTAAAAAAAACAATACTTACTGTAAATATGTTTTTCCGGGTTAAAATTAAACTTCTCAATAATTATTCTTCACAATTTTTATTCATTGAATGAAAGTGGTATCAAAAATGATTCGATTACTAAAATGACTCTTACAAAATAGGAATTTGAGGTAAAAGAGTGAATGTTTAGGACTGAACATTATTATAAAATTTTATAATCGCTCAAGAAGTTTTGAAGGAATATCAATGTTTTTGTAAACGCAACGTTGTATTGTATGAATGTTGGTATGAATGAAAGTATGGATCTGTATAAGATTAGATATGGATGTATGATAATAATAAAAGAATATTGAATATATAGCAGTAGATGAGCAGTTATAGAGAGATTATACTGAGATACGTTATGAAGATAGAGAGACGAACAATGTAATAGAGGGAGTTTTTAGAGACAATAAATGAGTATTTAGAGATAAATAGACCGATTTTGCCGCACAACAGACCAATTTAATGGTAAGGCTATATTATGAAGAACTTTCAGGCGTTGCAGTGTGGAGTCAGGCATAGTTCTCTGGTTGTCAGATAGAATACCTGACCGAGAAACTGCACATACATAAAAAACGATCTTACATAAAAGGGTCTTTCTGACTCAGCTTCATAACATACGAGTGACGTGACAGTTTATGTATAAAACGCCTGAATGCACAGCAAATACATCCCATTTTTACAGTATTCAGTATGATTCAGTAGCATAATGTATGGAAGTTGGAGAGTAACATGGCCTTGCCATAACATTTTTCTGTTATGCGGCAGAATCGGTCCAAAGTGTATTATTATTAATAGAGACTTTTTTTTTAAATTTAATTAATTTTAATAATTTCATATTTATATTATTTATTTTTAGGTACCACGCTTCAAGAATGGTGAACTACGACGGCGCCCGAGGTTTTATCGTGACGGGCGAGAGAGGCGCTAGTGTGCTTACAGTTCCGGAAGCCAATAAAACGGTGCACAGCGGAAATTTTACTTGCGCGCCATCCAACGCCAGACAGGCCAGCATCACGGTACACGTATTGAATGGTAAGAAAAATTAAATTTTGTAATAAATTGATTGAATTTTACTTAACTATATAAGTTTGATATATAAATTTATCATCTGAATTTATAAAGGTTGATATTTAAATAATTTGTATAGTGCCAGTTGTTTTAGATAATCGGTATACAATATAAATTTCTTGTAGGGTAAGTTATAGTAATCGCAAAGAATTCGAAAATGAAAATTTCCATATATCTTCAAGTTTAAAAGGTGTCTAAAAATTTTGGTATACCCTAGAAAAAAAAACACACACACACATTTTTTTATGTATGCCAAAATTTTTAGAAAAATCTGAATCGTGAAAATATTATTTTCGATTTTAGGCTCATTACTATAACTTACCCCACGGGAATTTAATTATAATATAAGCATTAATTTACCATTGGCCATTTGGTTTTACTATACTTAAACAAATTTCATTCAGCTATCAAATCCTATTGGTGGTTTCTTGAACAATCACTAAAATAATTATTAACTTACCGTAGGGCAAGTTATAGTAATCGCAAAAAATCGAAAATGAAAAATTTACATATATCTTTACGTTTCAAAACCTTCTGAACATTTTGACATACCTAAGAAAAAATGAATGTATGTGTGTGCGTGTGTGCGTGTATGTGTGTGTGGGCGGATATAAATTTTCGTCGACGATTTCGGGAACACAGATGAAGCGATTTGAATAATTCAAAAAACATTGATAAGGAGACGTGGTGATTAGTTTTTGGCGAAGGCAGGTCTAGCCCTTCCGAAAATATGGGGCAAAAAGTGTCAAAAACGGTAACTCAGTTTTTAAGAGAACGGAGCGTCCGATTTGAACAATTCAAAAACCATATCACTTGTATTAACAAGATGAAAAACTGATCAAATTTTCATGAAAGTAGGTCTAGCGGTTTCGGAGGTCTAGTTAAAAAGTAAAAAAATGCCTTTTGGAGGTCAAAAACGATTATTAGACATATGCCCATTAAATTATCAGATATTTTATAGACATTTTAACAATAAGTATAAATTTTGTTTACATTCCTATGGGTTCCGTACCAATGCTTATCCGTTAGACTGCGGCGCGGCGCTTACGCTCTTTGATATTTCGTCTCTATGCAGTTAAAGCAGTACGATTGCTTTGAAAAAAAGTTCAGAATTTCCAAAATATTTCAAATTACACTTTTCTTTAAAAAGTCTTTTTTCAAAAAAGGTAAATTTTTGTCAAAAATTTATAGTTTCTTAAAAATCTAATTTTTCAGAGTATTTTTTTTTCAAAAATATATTTAATCTTAAAAAAAAAAAAAATTTGTACGGAAAGTTACAGCAATTTGCCTTTAGGCACGATGCCATGCGCCCCACTAGTATTCTATTGTTTCGCTCTTTTTACTTACAATTAGTAAATTGCTATTAACTGAATTTATTGTATCATTCAACATATAAATGTTCCAAACGGACAGTCCCATGATGGTGAGAAGTATATGTTACTACTTCCTCGTTGCTTGAGGAGAAATTCATAAAGTAGAATTCCGCCACTTTATATTTTCCATACGAATTCAGACCATTTAACTTTGCCGCAAGTCGAGTCGCATATTTGGGAGCAATTGTCGTCGTGTTATGAAGCGCTCATGGTGGCTGCGGAAGAGCGGAAAAGCTCGAATATTTCTAATAAAACTGTTGCTCGCCATTTCGGCATAGTGTTTGCTGACAATTGTGAAAAGGTTACTTAAAATGAAGTAGGAGTTTCATATGATAATGCGCCAGTAATGCAGTAATAACTAACGGGCATTCTATTTTTAATTTTCCGTAGGGATAGTAAAGTAGTGTCATAGTAAAGGGCAAAACTTCGAAAATGATAGTTTTTGCATATCTTTACGTTTTGGAGATTTCTAAACATTTTGGCATACCTTAGAAAAAAATGTATGTATGTATGAATACAAATTTTGTCCACGTTTTGGGCGCACGGATCAACCGATTTGGATGGTTCAAAAAACATTCGATTCCTATTGATAGGGAGATGTGCTGATTAGTTTTTGCCAAAGTTAGGTCCAGAAGTTACGGAGATACGAAGCAAAGAGTACAGAAAATAGAAATCGAGTTTTTGACAGAACGTAGTATCCAATTTGAATGATCCAAAACACATTAAATTTGTAATAACACGGAAATGTGCTGATTAGTTTTTGGCAAATACGGGCTTAGTCATTTCAAAGATACGGAGCTAAATGTGCAAAAAATGGCAATTTTTGAGAGAACTAAGTGCCCAATTTGAATGATTCAAAAAATGTTATGCTTGTGTTGACGAAACGATTGCTTCTGAAGAAAGATATTATTTTAAAATTTCATTTTTTTTGTATATTGAAAATAATTCAGATTTTAATTTCATTTCTGACTAAAGTTCTAAAGCTCACTTATATACTTCATTATAATAATCTATTTGAAAACATTTAATATTCCTCGAACATTATTTTGATATGGTACAGGAAGTTCCAGCAATTTGACTTAAAGCACAATTTTTTCGTTTTGTATTTTGATGGCTGCAATTGGACACAGTTTTAAAATTTATTGTTTCATATTTTCTAAAAAAATCATTGTTTATTTTATGTACCTAGATTGTGAACAGTTATTAAACTAATAGTGATGCGCATGAACCTCGCCTATTTTTAAATGCATTAATTTTTTTTGTACATTTGGAAAAATAGTTTTCTGAGAATTTTGGAATTTTTGGAAAAGGGACTTTTTTGAAATAATCGACTTTTGAACAAATCGGACTTTTTTAAAAATTTCAGGATATATAGAAAATTTCAAATCATTTTGATTTTTTTTTCACTTATTCATTTGTTTAAACTATAGAAGCAAACAAATAAACACTACAAATATTAATATGGAACACATAGAAATAAAATAAAATGTCGATAAAGTACATGATATTTATCTAAAATATGATTTCTAGTGATAATAGCAATTCAGACCGTTACTGTACAATTTTTTATGTACATAATCATTATGTTGTAGAATGTTTATTGAATAATTATTAAAACACTATATAACAATGATTTAAATATACTAACTCAAACATCATAGAATATTTAAAAATTGGTCACTAGTTTAATATTTGAAAAAAAATTGATACAAAATTTAAATTTTATAGTCGCCCTATTTTTATTTTTTATTATTTTTTGGGTATATCTTTATTTTTTTTTATTTTTTCATAATGCTATTATAAAAAACACATGTAACCTCAAAGCCATATTTCGTGAAAATTATTAAAGTGATTACATCATTTTTTATCTCAATTTCTTCAGTGAACGTTTTTGATTGAAATTAGATTAAGATTTTTGAGCCGATGAAAAAGCTCAATTTTACATAAAAAATTGATTTATCATGGAATTTTTTTGACCTATATAAAACGTAAATGATGTGACCGTCTAAGTGCTATAGCAACTTTTTTTAAAAAAAGAATGGCTTAGAGATAATAATTAACATTAGCATTTTTTTTTAATTTTTAGGTGAAAAACCAGCAGCAATGCAACATGCAAACACAAGCACTTCGAGTTCAGAAATGATTTTTCCAAAATTATGGGCAATAGTTTCGACGTCTTTGTATTTCAGCCTAAATTCCAACAGATGAATTTAATAAAATTTTATCAAAATTTTTCTTCAATGATATATCATTAACAGGTAACTAACTACTAACTGTGTACATTCTGTGTATATTTACGTGTATATTATATTGTATATATAGATTGTAAGATATTTTTGTATGGGATACATATAACTTTAGGTAGTGAATATATAAGTACAAATATGTAATATTTTATTTATTTGAATTAATTAAAACTTGGAAAAATTACTTCATCAGTTCTTGGTTCATTCGCAATTACTTTTTACATTAATCTACCTAAAACATTTTGAAACCCAAAATAATTCGTTAAAATATAATTTAATTAAAATCATTGATCATCTATTACGCGTATTATTATTAATATTAAATCAATATTATCAAAAAGGGAATGTGCATTCAAAATTAACTATAAATATAAAATAAAGCCCCAAATAATTGAATAGAATAAAATACATATCTGCTATATGTTTTCAATTAAAAATATTAACATCAATGTGATTAAATTTATCAAAAGTGGGCAGAAGTTTCGGGAAATATTTGATAAAATTATTTTTTTCTATTTAATTTTTTATACCCACATATCAAAACGTATCATTTTTGTGAAGAAGTTAATTGAAAAAAATAAATTTGGATTACAAACAATAGAAGTACCAAAAATATGGTTTTTACATGCAGTCACATAACAAAAATGTCAATAAATATTTATTATTAGGATACAAACGATTTTATTCTACCTGCCTAATTTATACATTTAGTTTTTCAATATTGCATAATAGATTGTTATTAAATTTTTCCATTTTAAGTATAATCCTAAGAAAATCAAGAGTTTTATTGGCCCCAAATCGATACAAAAAATTATATAATTTTATATTTCGGATTCTTTGTTTTTCATCTAAAATTGTGTCAATTATTTTATGCATATTCCCAAAACATTTCATATAATATTAGCTTAATCGTTGTAAATAATATCGTAATATTAAAAAATCAATTATATATTAGAAATAATGTATTAGAGTGGTTGTAAAAACAATGTTTGACTATGTACATTATCTTCCATGTTTTGAAAACTATATACATGTTAATTTATATGAGGTATGAAATATATCTTTTATTTATGAAATTATCCGTTGTATCATTTCAGGATAAAGAATTATTTACAGGCAAGTGATAACTATTTTTGTGAACAGAATATAAAGTGACATATTTGGAATCAGTGATTGATTAAAATAATTACTAAAATTCTAAATTAACGTAGGCAGTTTTTTTCCAAGAATTATTTTCCAGTGGAAAGTTGATGAAGAGTTAAGGTAAATTTCATTTCAATTTTATTTTTCTAAATGAATTACCAATTATCGATTACAGAAATATACAATGATAATGAATCATTAATACATTTGATAAATAATAAAGATAAGGTATTTTTAAAGCAAATGCCAGCTATTTTTTTGGTAAATAAAATTGTGACTACTGATTGAAAAAGCCATAAACGATGTTACAATATTTATTAAAAAACTAACCAAATTAAATTAAAATTTAGAACTAACCAAGAATTTTTTAAGTGGAATTAATGGAGAAAAGATATCGGATTTTTGTACTGTAAATTGGCAATCATTTTTTTCTGGTCGACGATTGATTTAAAAAAATGATGAGATTGCATTTTAAACAATCAGTATATAGTTACAAGATTTATTTAAATTCAAAATTGATCGAAGCAGTTGTGTGCATAATAAGTTTTGTGAAGTGAAACGTTGATAAAGTGTAAAGGTAATTTTATCGGATTATTTGTGCTGGGAAATAAATTCCCGTCTATTGATTAATAAGATTATAAAATGATGTATAAAATCAGTGTATTATGTATAAACATAAGTGCAAAATTCGAAATCAATAGTAGCAGTTTTTACAACATATTTTTCAAAGTGACAACAGGTAAGTCATATTATAATTTATATATATATATATATATATATATTCAGAATCATACAAAATATATATATATATATATATATATATATATATAATAAACATCATACTCATGAATTATATATATGATATATGATAGAATTAATACACTTACCTTTTCCGATCTCGTCCGAAAACTCCCAATTTGCAACACTGACGTCACTTTTGAATCGACTATGATATATTATAATGTTTCAAAAACTTGAAACGCGAGTTATTAAATTCACAAAAATTGTACCATATATACATCAATTGCAAGTTATTTAAAGCCGATACACAGAACAAACGAGTCTGATCAAAAAGCCGATTAAACACTAATAAAGATATTATTATTCACTTCAACACAAAGTACACTTTCACCAGAATTATACATTATAATGTGATAATTTTTCACAACAAATATCTGATTATTATTTAATTATTAAAAGCGACTAAAATTTTTATACACTATTTATTTCATAAAATTTTTTGCACATAGTTCTTCAACGTAAAATACTGAAATGTTCTATAGGCCGCGTGGCATTTTGACCCAGGCGTCGTCGAGCGCCCGGGTCGCGCACCATGTTATTCTTACTAGATGCAAACACCAAATAAACATTGTCAACTACTAACAATAAAATCACGCAATAAATTGGCGCTTGACTGTATAATGTTGGTGTCAAATCAAAAATAAATCGATTGAGAAATTTTTTAGATATTGATGTTGTTAGAGAATAATCCGCCTGCAATTTATATTGAAATACTTTAGTGACATCATAATGGTTTGACAGTCTCACTTTGATCATTGAATATTTTACAATCAGACTTGATGAACACCATGCAGTTTTTTAAGCACTTCTATTATTAAATTAAGTTTGAAACTTAATATTAAATATCACCAATGGGACATAATTCATAGTTACAAAATATTCTAAATAACTTGACATTTTAGAATATATACTGCTTCTCATACAGATTTCAAATTTAAACAAAAAAGGTTATGTTTTATACGCATGACGAATATATTCGCCAATATACAAAATTCTGTCACTTCAACCTGACGAGTATATTCGTAAATCAAAATTATCTAGTAAATTATAATTAGTCTGAAGAAAGAGGTATTTTTTGAGTATTTTTATATCATGATATTTTTTCTTATAAAATTGCATGGCCATAAGGATTCGAAATAGAATATATAATTATAATTAATTATAGTAGCATTCATTTAATTATTTATTTAATAGGAATAAAACATTTTAGTACGTCAATTTTTCTTATGTTTTTTTAATGGTTAGAAAAAATTTTTATTTTCTAGATAGTAAAAACTGATCAATTACTTTAACATTTTTTTAAAAATTAATATCTTCAAAAAAAAACTTTTTTTTATATTAAATACAAATTTTATCTGTTTATTAACATTAATTTTCCTAACTAAAATAATTAACAATATAAATCAGCACCAAAATAGTTCATATATAAATCAGCAAGTTTTAAAAATATTAGTAATTATTAATATTAATAATTTTATAATTATTAATAATAATTATTTTTATTAGATGTTCGATTTCAAAAAAAAGAGTAATTTACTGATTTTAACCCGATTTTATGGAAAAAGGAGTAGGTATATTTTCAAAATTTATGATTAAATCATTAAATAAGTCGCACTTGTGGCCCAGAATCAGATATTCTTGGTTGTATTTTGTGGTAAATCAAGACGGATAATTTGTGAAATCTGTAAATGAATCATTAAGTTAAAATTGAATATCAATTTCAAGTACTAAGTTAGGATTTTTTTATTTTAAAAGCCAATTTTTGAAATCTGCAAATAAATAAAAAATATTATAAATTTTAAGTACCAAATTTTATTCTCTTTGTACAAGGTTAATATCTATACCCTTACGTTAAAGATAATTTTAAAATAATTATAAAAATTATATAAAATATATTAGATATTTTGTGTATACACAATTAAGCTTAAAATTCTAACAAGAATTGATACACCGTTATCCGTAAGAAATTATTATTAGAACAATTATCGTTAGATTCTAGATTTATCATAGAAGTTGATTTAACACTTTTTAACATAGAAATTATATACACTTATTACAATATTTATTATTATCAACGTCATTATATTAAAATAAATGTTTAAAATCCATATAAAATTATTTAAATTTGATACACAACATTTTATACGTACAACATTTTTGGCAACACTCAAGATGCATATGCAAAAAAATTAACAATATATTTTTGCACATTGCAATTTATAAAATAGAAATTACATCAGCAATACAAATTTTACAAAAAGTCTGTAACTATATATATAAATTTTTAAAAATGTTTACGTTTGTCATTGAAAATCACACAATATCACATAAAACATGTCGCACTAAATCGTTCGACTTTTCACAAATCGCGCTTACACAGAAAGCTTTCAATCATAATATTTTTTAATCCATTTTAAAATAATTTAATTCTTAATATCAGATTTAACTGCTTTCACCAGTTTTCATTCAATTTGCGTTGTATATATAAAAATATACATACACAACATAGAAATAGTTATTTTATTGGATGATAAATTTCTAGAACTCCCTGAACTCGTATTCGCATGTTGCATTGCAGCTGGCATTTCACCTGAATAAATTATATATTTGGTATTTAGTTAGGTTTATTAAAATTTAAATGATCATATTGTAGAAATTAAATTTTAATTAAGCGGAATTAATTACTAGGAATATACTTGGTTACCTTTGAAATTAGAAAAACAAAAATGCAGATAGATTTTTTACAAAATTATTTTAGAAATATAGAAAGTAAATAAATTTATGACTTCTATCACTTAATTTGAGCAAAAAATAATAGAATAAATAAAAATCTCACCATTCAGGATGTGAACAGAAATTGTTGCTGGTTTTGCATTGGAAGGTGCACAAGTATAGTTTCCATCATGTATAGATTTATTGGCTTCTGGAACTGTTAAAAGGCTAACATCTTTTTCATCCCTTACCACAAAGCCTAGATCAATGTCATAGTTGACCATTCTTCCTGAATGATACCTGTATAACATAATACAAAAAAACTGATGTTTAAAATTGATCGATTCAATGATTGCAACTGTGGTCCTAATCCAAAGTATTATAAAGATAAGAAAAATCTTTGTATTTTTTTTTTACATACACTCTCTGGAGTTTAAATGTTTATTTTATGTTATAGAATTATTTTTTGTAATTTCTAATTGCTAAATTAATTAAAAATATATATATTTAAAAATATAAAAATAATCTGATGCCAAAACAATGAATTTTTTCAATACCAGAAATACACATTATGAGCTGTTGACTTTGTTATTATGAATAAAGACATAACTCACATAATTTTCAAAATATTTTTGCAATTATTTCTACGTAATGAGAAAAATAACTATGTTACCAAAATACATATGAAGGTCTTTCAATAGCGCCTTTTATAGAACAAACCAGCCTCAATGTTGATCCTGTTCTGATATGGAGATCAGGAGATCCTTGAATTTCTGCAAACGCCTCTGAAAAAAAAAAAATTTCTTTTCTCGTAAAGTTCACCATTATTATTATGGTTTCAATTATCTATGATAATATTACTATCAATTTCAATTATTATTATTATGATTTCAAACGTTGAATTTTATGTGATATGATGACCCGAATCATTTAGAGAAAAATTATAGTTTTTAAGAAAGTTCAGATTAATTCAAATATGTAATATTAGTGACGATGATATTATAATATCATTGAACATATGATTTAATTAAAAAAAGCAACTCAATTTTAATGTCCCAAATACATTGTTAATATTAGATTTAATAAATTAAGTATTTGCATATCATTCTCTAAAAACAATTTATATGTCGAAGCCAATTTTTTTTAAAATCAAACTTGCGCAGTAGTTTAAAAAAAATTCTTTGTAACTATTAACTTGCTTATACCAATAATAATAAACAACTAGTTGGTTTGGTATTTAGCCTTGAGGCAAGTTACATGAACTTCCCGATATGTGTAAATAATTGACTTAATAAAATATAAATTAATTTATGAGTAATTAAAAGTATTCCGAGTGTATTTATTACACATAATTGAAAACGAACAAACACGTTAACCCGGAGTATTTTATAAAAGCAAATTTTCAAAAATCAATAATTTTTATAATTGAACCAGTTTTTGTAGGAATTTAATAATTTAGTATGTTCATTAAGACCAAGTACACTATCGTTATACCAAGTAAATCGTCTAATTTTAATTTTAACAAACGTCAAAAAAACTACTCATTTTCTCAAAATTTGATGATTTTTTAATATTAAACTACTAGTCGTAAGGCCGTAATAATTCAGTAAGTTCTATAAGATCATGATGTATATCGCCAAAAAAAGTACCATAAAAATCGGTCTAAATTTTTTTTTCAACAGTTAATTACAAGAAAACGGCTCGGTAGATTTTCACCTAAAACTAATCAGTATCATTCCCAACAAATATCTTTCGAACAGTTTTTGATTTTTTAAAATCGGTTCGGTAGGATGAGCTTATATGTAGACGAAAAGTTTAACACTTTTTTCCAAATTACAAAGAAAGGGCTCGGCCGATCTTCGCACAAAACTGACAAACGATAATCCCCATCGTGATATATCAAATGCTTTTTAAATATCTGAAATCGGTTCAGGCGTTTTTGAGCAAACGTCGATGAAAGTTCTAATTTTGACAAATGCCAAAAGGACCACACTAATTTTTGCAAACTTTGACGAATTTTTAAAGCTGAACCAGTTGTCGTAGGGCCGTAATATTTTAGTATGATCTAGAAGACTATGGTTTCTACCGTCAAAAAAATAATCATAAAAATCGTCAGAAAATTTTTTTTTAAAATTTTATTACAAGAAAACGGCCCGGCCGATCTCTACCAAAAACTAATCAGCACGATTCCCAACCAATATCTTTCGAACGGTTTTTGAATTTTCAGAATCGATTCAGAATTGCGGGCTAAAACGTAGACGAAATTTTTTTCACTTTTCTGCGATTTATAAAGAAACGGCTTGGCCGATCGTCGCACAATAGTCAAATATTGACAAACAATAGTCCTCGTCAAGATACATAGAGTGGCTTTTAAATTTCTTAAATCGGTCCAGCCGTTTTCGAGAAAACGTCGATTTACGGCAAAAAATCCGTTCACATACACGCACACACACACATACACACACACACACACACACACACACATACTTTTTCCAAATTTGGTCTCATTCGATTCAGAATGGCTTGAAACGTCGAGAAAACATAAAATTAGCAATTCGGATTTTTTGATGAAAACATAAACTTCTCCTTCGGGAAGTTAATTAAATTTCGCGGGTCTGGAGTGTCTGATTGTCAAAATTTTTTTTTTTATTGTGTTGGTATACATGCCCCTAAAGTATGATGAAATTTTCAGCTATATTCACTGTTTACTTTGTCTGTGGTAGTCGCTAAGGTTCGACGTGTTTTTCTGAGCTCGGCGATTTTTACAAGGGAAGAATTGAAAAAGTCAAAGAATTTGTATTAAATTTTGCGTAAAAAAATGAAATAAAGTGTTGCAAAGTGCAAAAATTCACCAGATATGGCTCCGTGTGACTTTTTCCTATTCCCAAAGTTGAAGAGACCCATGAAAGGACGGCGGTTTTCCTCGATTGAAGAAAATCGCCGAGAGTGCTCAAGGACATATCAAAAAGTGAATATCAAGGGTGCTTCGAAAATTGGAAAAAACGCTGGCATAAGTGTATTATATCTGGGGGGGACTACTTTGAAGGGGACCACATTAATGTAGACGAATAAATAAATATTTTTTTGAAAAAAACGAAAATTACGATAACTTTTTGAACAGACCTCGTATATCGCCAAAAAAATTTCCATGAAAATCGGCTTAAATTTTTTTTTTCAACAGTTAATTACAAGAAAACGGCTCGGTAGATTTTCACCTAAAATTAATCAGTATCATTCCCAACTAATATCTTTCGAACAGTTTTTGATATTTTAAAATCGGTTCGGTAGGATAAGCTTAAATGTCGACGAAAATTTAACACTTTTTTTCAACAGTTAATTACAAGAAAACGGCTCGGTAGATTTTCACCTAAAATTAATCAGTATCATTCCCAACTAATATCTTTCGAACAGTTTTCGATTTTTTAAAATCGGTTCGGTAGGATGAGCTTAAATGTCGACGAAAATTTAACACTTTTTTTCAACAGTTAATTACAAGAAAACGGCTCGGTAGATTTTCACCTAAAATTAATCAGTATCATTCCCAACTAATATCTTTCGAATAGTTTTTGATATTTTAAAATCGGTTCGGTAGGATAAGCTTAAATGTCGACGAAAATTTAACACTTTTTTTCAACAGTTAATTACAAGAAAACGGCTCGGTAGATTTTCACCTAAAATTAATCAGTATCATTCCCAACTAATATCTTTCGAACAGTTTTTGATATTTTAAAATCGGTTCGGTAGGATGAGCTTAAATGTCGACGAAAATTTAACACTTTTTTTCAACAGTTAATTACAAGAAAACGGCTCGGTAGATTTTCACATAAAATTAATCAGTATCATTCCGAACTAATATCTTTCGAACAGTTTTTGATATTTTAAAATCGGTTCGGTAGGATAAGCTTAAATGTCGACGAAAATTTAATACTTTTTTTCAACAGTTAATTACAAGAAAACGGCTTGGTAGATTTTCACCTAAAATTAATCAGTATCATTCCCAACTAATATCTTTCGAACAGTTTTTGATATTTTAAAATCGGTTCGGCAGGATGAGCTTAAATGTCGACGAAAATTTAACACTTTTTTTCAACAGTTAATTACAAGAAAACGGCTCGGTAGATTTTCACCTAAAATTAATCAGTATCATTCCCAACTAATATCTTTCGAGCAGTTTTTGATATTTTAAAATCGGTTCGGTAGGATGAGCTTAAATGTCGACGAAAATTTAACACTTTTTTTCAACAGTTAATTACAAGAAAACGGCTCGATAGATTTTCACCTAAAATTTATCAGTACCATTCCCAACTAATATCTTTCGAACAGTTTTCGATTTTTTTAAATCGGTTCGGTAGGATGAGCTTAAATGTCGACGAAAATTTAACACTTTTTTTCAACAGTTAATTACAAGAAAACGGCTCAGTAGATTTTCACCTAAAATTAATCAGTATAATTCCCAACTAATATCTTTCGAACAGTTTTTGATATTTTAAAATCGGTTCGGTAGGATAAGCTTAAATGTCGACGAAAATTTAACACTTTTTTTCAACAGTTAATTACAAGAAAACGGCTCGGTAGATTTTCACCTAAAATTAATCAGTATCATTCCCAACTAATATCTTTCGAACAGTTTTTGATATTTTAAAATCGGTTCGGTAGGATGAGCTTAAATGTCGACGAAAATTTAACACTTTTTTTCAACAGTTAATTACAAGAAAACGGCTCGGTAGATTTTCACCTAAAATTAATCAGTATCATTCCCAACTAATATCTTTCGAACAGTTTTTGATATTTTAAAATCGGTTCGGTAGGATGAGCTTAAATGTCGACAAAAATTTTACACTTTTTTTCAACAGTTAATTACAAGAAAACGGCTCGGTAGATTTTCACCTAAAATTAATCAGTATCATTCCCAACTAATATCTTTCGAACAGTTTTTGATATTTTAAAATCGGTTCGGTAGGATGAGCTTAAATGTCGACGAAAATTTAACACTTTTTTTCAACAGTTAATTACAAGAAAACGGCTCGGTAGATTTTCACCTAAAATTAATCAGTATCATTCCCAACTAATATCTTTCGAACAGTTTTTGATTTTTTAAAATCGTTCGGTAGGATGAGCTTGAATGTGGACGAAAAGTTTTTTTCAAATTACAAAGAAACGGCTTGGCAGATCGTTGCACAAAACTGACAAACGATAGTCCTCACCGAAATACATCAAATGTCTTTTAAATTTCTAAAATCGGTTCAGGCGTTTTTGAGAAAACGTCGATCAAATATCTAATTTTGACAAATGCCAAAAAGACCATACCAATTTTTGCAAACTTTGACGAATTTTTAAAGCTGAACCAGTTGTCGTAGGGCCGTAATATTTTAGTATGATCTAGAAGACTATGGTATCTATCGTCAAAAAAATAATCATAAAAATCGTCGAAATTTTTTTTTTAAAAACTTTATTACAAGAAAACGGCCCGGCCGATCTCTACCAAAAACTAATCAGCACGATTCCCAACCAATATCTTTCGAACGGTTTTTGAATTTTCAAAATCGATTCAGAATTGCGGGCTAAAACGTAGACGAAAAATTTTTCACTTTTCTGCCATTTATGAAGAAACGGCTTGGCCGATCGTCGCCCAAAACTGACAAACAATAGTTCTCGTCGAGGTACATCGAATGGCTTTTAAATTTTTGAAATCGACCTAGCCGTTTTCGAGAAAACGTCGATTTACGGCAAAAAATCTGTTCACATACACACACACACACACACACACACACACACATACTTTTTCCAAATTTGGTCTCATTCGATTCAGAATGGCTCGAAACGTCGAGAAAACATAAAATTAGCGAATCGGGTTTTTTGATGAAAACATAAACTTCTCCTTCGGGAAGTTAATTAATAGTACCTTAATCATTTAATGTGTTAGTAGTTAAAATTAGTTCAAGCACTTTTGTCAAAATCTAATAAATTTATACAGGGCAAGGTTGCCTAAGTCGTACCCTACAAATGAAATCTTTAGCGCTTATTTATCTTAAGTTCGATTTTGATTAACAATTAATGAAAATTTTATTTCTTATTGAATTTTTTTTTCAAAAATGTGTATTTGGTAAGATTAAGGCACTCAGTCGTACCACCTACAGTCCTGTTTCTAAAAAACTATATAGGATTCCGTCAGAGATAAGATATTCTTTAGTGCCTTGTCAGTATGTAAAATGTATTTATTAAAATAATATCTATAATTAAATAATATTATCAAAGAGTAACGAATGTACTTTTAAAATAATCAAGCCTCTAGTGCTAAAAATTATTAGTTAGACCCATGCTTACCCTTCTGTTGATTTCTTATTGAAGGAAAAACTTTGGAATATTTTATCTATAAATTAGTTCGTTGTATTTTTTAAAATTATAAAACGTTCTTTATTAAACTGGTATCAGTAAAATATTTTGCACAAGTACGATTTAAGCTACATAGTCGTGGAAGTTGTCGTTCAAAATTAAAAACAACAAGACAACATATAAATTCTAGCATTTAATTATGCCTAAACAAGTTTAATAGAGAATAATGAATAAAAATTAGTAACGAAATCATGTAATGATCATATTCTTCTCATAAAAAGCTTACAATTAGCCCAAAAATATTTAAAAAAATCATAAAAAGTTTATTTTATTAATTCTTTTTTACAAAGTCGTCCAGGTTGCCAGTCGTAAACGCTTGAATATATAAGTAATAGTTCTATAATTGTACTAGATAATGTATTAAGAATTCATAATCATGAGAAAAAATACAACTAAGGTATGTCTTAAATAGAGGTACGACTTAAGCAACTTACTTTACTATTATTATTGATTTTTAATCAAAGTTAGTATTATGTTTGTGAGAGTTGCTGCATACAAAATGCATCAATAAAATTGTGATATCGAGATTTTCTTTATTTTCTCAGGATTTAATTTAAAATATCTCACCGACGACTTCCAAATGGACAAATATGCTCGCCGGAGGATGAGTCGAAATCTGGCATTCATACGTGCCGGCATCTTCCAGTTTCACAGATTTTATTTTCAGAGGCCAATGTCCCAGATGACGGACATGTTCGATGTGAAAACGCTCGTCACTCGAATATATTGCATTTCCCACGGTCAGAAGATGGAAGTCGCTTCGGCGAATCCACGTCACCTGAAAAAAAAATAGGTAAAAAATAATCATTACCACTTCAGATCGATTAAATAATCACTTTATCCATTGATTACTCCCAAGTTGACTCAAAATCAATCACACCGAGCGTTTCGAATCTGTTCAAACATTTCAGATATCAATTTCCTACGTGATTTCCCAATCTATATATATGTCACATAGTATGAGCATTACATAACATTGTGAAACGGCTTGAAATCAAAGGACCGTGAAATACATTCATCAGATTACCGGACGATATCAATTAGAGACGATGGCAGCTTTCCCGGCAACTGGGATACATATAACTATTCGGCCTAAGTACCAAACTACTACGACCACTTGAATCGAATCAAATGCTACCGATGATATTTATTGTTCGAGATAAAGTGAATGATTATCCGTACTAATCATTTGCAATTAAACACACCCACCAAATATATATGTACTAGATGATCCGACAGACGTTGCCCTGTACCCACGTATACAATTCAAAAGTTCCGATTTTTTTAATATGATATCCTATACTTTTTAATATCCTATTTGATGTATTCCCATTTGTATTCATTGTAGTCTTAGCATAAGCAGTATAAAAAATTTAGAAAAAAATAATATAGTAGGTATAAGAAATGTCTACATATTATTTTCTGCCGCAAAACAACAATATCCCGCTTGATTTTACCACATAACACAATTGCTTCAATAATTTAGTCAATGATTTTAATAATGTCATACGATATATTAGTTGCCTTTCGGCAATTATAATTTCTGAAGTACATTTTTCTTACTATTAAGTTAATAAACATTATTGTTTATGTTCAACTCTTAGATGAATTATTTGGTAAAATCTAGTTCATATGAGCACTCTTCAATCTAAAATCAACTTCCTGAATATTCCATATACAATGCCAAACAAATAAATTTTTGACACATGAAACAAACTTCTAAATCATTTTTTTAATAAGTAGAAATATTTTTTTGTATTGTTAAAAAATTTAGTGAAGTAAACCAAAATGCGCCATGCATAAGTTTTAAAAAAATAATGTATCTGCAAATTAGGTCTTATTGCGTTATTTATTAAACTGAATTATATAATTTCATCTGCCAAAATGTACTGTTGACTATATCTTATATTATTTTAATTTCTCGCTCATCTCAGCTACTTTTCGGCAATAATAATGTAGATATTACATTTTTTTTGTATTTTTCATTCTAATATTATCTAGGCTCATAATTTCAGCTAAGTGAATTGAATTGAATTCAAGTGAACTGACATTTCTAGCAGATGACAGTTCAAATGTTTTCAATGTCAAATAATGATAAGTGTTTTTGTGTAATTTTTACCATTTATTTCTACAATATTACTATAGTTTTATCGTTCGTTAAATCTTAGAAAATTTCTTCAACAAACTGTAAAAAGAATTATCAAAATTCGAATACCCGGTTAGGAGAAGTATCAAATCATACACTCTACAGAAGAATTATATATATAAGATATGTTTAAATTAAATGTTTAGATTGAAACTCAATGTATATTGGTTAAACTAGTAAAATTTGACAGATTAATCCCAAACGATTTAAAACTATGCTTACTGATGAAATTATTCTAAAGACATATTAGACAAAGTCCATTTATAACTATTTATAAAAAGAGAGTAATGATAAACAAAAGTACCAAAAATGTCCCTAGTTTGCTTCTGTTACCCAAAAAATTCAAATATTTCAATTTTTGGGGACGGCTGTCCACCTGAGTGGACAAACATACTCTGTGAGGTACAGGCTATTTTATAATCTCAGTTTGCATCGAAAAGTTGAATAAATTACATATAGCAGTGATAAACAGTGTTGTATTTTGAAAATATTTTTAAGTTATTTTAGTAGTAGTTTTAGCCCTTTTCTTTGCTATATCTATTTTAATATTTAAAACGACCGAGCGCTTTTAAGTATGGCAAAACGACTGATAAATTTAGTAAATTAATCAGTAGTGAAAATGAGTTTCAAATAGACATTCATACAGACAAATTTTACGAAATTACTATTTGCACCAAAGATAGTGATGAATGTGATGATGATATTATCCAACCAACAAAAAGAAGAAGTTCGACAAATTTAATGTAGAGCGGAAAGACATTAGCGAATGTGCCGATTCTTGTGCAATAATCAAGTTGGACATACATCAACAAACACCCCGACTACAAATACCAAGCAATATAAGACATCCGATAGATTATTTTACTTTATATTTTACAAATTAATTATTAGATAATACAATAGAAAAAAAAAACATTATGGCAGCAAAAAATGAACAAATATACTGAATAATATTCTAAATGCGACATGAGACATATTCTAAATGCGAGAGAAAGAAAAAGGGATTGTATTGTCTGTTCTGACAGAAAAGCACCAGGCGAAAGGCGGCGAACAACATTTTATTGTAAAACATGTCAAAATCAACCAGCTATGCATTTTGGAAATTATTTTGAACGTCACCATTCTATATAAAATGATCAGAAATAAATTAATATTAAAAATGTATGTCCTTCAATGACCACGAATTTTTATCAAACAAATTGCATAATATACACAATGAAATCAAGTTTACAGCCGGCACAATAGATTGTTTTTAAATCAGTGCCGTCTCGTAAGTGTTAATAATCAAAAACAACACAAAAAATATGCAAAATTGCACTGACAATAAACTAGCGTTTTATTATTATTTTGCAACAAAGAATAATTTACTAAAATATAATAATGAGCATAATTCCTGTTTTGAATTTAATTCAACACAACCAAAAGCGTTGTTGGTATTATCATTTAGGATTTTGTCAAAATAGAAAAAATATATTCATAAAAACTAAATCGAATTAAATGATAATTAAACACAATTCAGAATATTTCCGTAGAGATTGTCATTAATCATTATACAAACACGCGAGAAACGTGTCGAATAAACTCAATTTTAGTGAATTTGAATAATTACCTCTAAACGCGTTTAATAGTTATTTGCCCCTAGCTAAAGGCGGTGGAATTATTTTTTGTTATTTTCACGTTATAATTAAAGTACTTTTATAGAACTATTTTATCACGTGGATTATACAAAAATTTATATGTAAGGTCAGCTGTTATTAATTTTATGGGCAAAATAATATTTGAATATTACAAAATACGTAAAAATAAAATTATGTCCCGTACGAGAATTCAATAGTTATGTGGTCATAATAATATTAGCTTCTAATGATTATTATTAACTTAATTATAATCAGGATATACATGATGAATCGTAGATTTCAAGTATTGTTGCATTTTTAACGACGTCTTTTGAAACAATTGCACCTTAAGTGCAAATATTAGTATAGTGTAAGTGTACTTTTATATTTCCATTAAATTTGTTATATGTAAATAGCAACTTATTCCTTGTGGGTAGGACCTCAAATTATGTGCAAATAGTTTTTTTTATTCCAAGTTACAAGAATCTGAATAATTGTAAACTTCATGCAATGTGTTCATATAAATTTTAAATATTTTGGCATGGCCTCGCCTGAGGAGCAAATATTGGTTTCGTCCATCTAGTTCAAATATGTTACAATTGTTAAATTCATACAATTTTTCAAGGTTTACCTTTCACCTGGTTTTAATTCGTCCAATAGGATTCGTCCTAATATTTTGGCAAGTAAGGTCTATGCTGCAAGTGCACATTACTGCACAATCGACTTCTCAATCGACTCGTATAGAAAAATAAGTATATTAAATAATACAATTGTGAAAAAAATATATTAAAGATAAATAAAATAATTAAAAAAAGGATATGGTGCTAAATTCAATTTTGTAATAAAATTATTGCAAATTATGAACCTAATATGGACTTTTTCATAAATAAAGGTATTTTGAATGTAAACAGGTTTTTATGATGAATGGTTTCATTAGTCACATAACAATGGGCATTTAGTATAGCATTTCTTTACTTTTCTATATGCAAATAAAATATTTGATAAAATGTTGTTTTTTAACTCATTTATTTATTTTCAGCAGAAATCCAATGCTGAGGATAGAAGTGCTTAAAAACATTTCAGAAATAAAGTAAAGAAGGTCAACTTCACAAATCGTGAAAAATACACAATCATAGGATATAATTGTTATGATCCAGAACAAGTGAATAAAAACTATTAAAAAGTACAAGAACAATAAAGCAATGAAATTGAATAAATATATTTGGAGTTTTGTTTTGTGGACTAAAAAGCGTTTTTTGCGTTAACAGTATTGTGCCAAATTTTGCAACCAGGAAGACCACGAATCTCATAACTGAAGTTTACTAGATATTTGGAAATACAAATTAGAAGTATAGATTTAAATGGAAATTTGCGTTGATGAAGACACCTCTCAGTTCAACTAAATTTCTATTCATCCATCCTAATATTAATCACCCATTCCTCCAATACAATAATTTTAATCATCCATTCATAGACTCATAGTGATTGCTTTTCTCGATTTTTGAGCTATTTTTCTATCCGAGTTCATGTATCGTTTTTGTAGTATTTGTGTAGTGTTTTAAAAAGACCTTATATATTAATAGTGTTTCAGTGCAGTGATAGTGTCCTGTCTCCGGTTTTTGGTTTCGGGTTTCTGCTCAGCTCTCTTCTGGAAATCACGAGGTAAACACCGATTTTTTTAGCACAAATCGATATTTCATAATATATTGAAAAATTGTTTAACATTTTTTCTATTCTTCAGACAACAAATTGGTAATCGGGATGTTCCAGAAGAATCGGTGATTTTAAATAAAGGTCAGTGCATTTTTATTCCTAGGCATGATTTCTAAAGGTACAGTGACACGTCTCGTTGTGCGTTCACAAAAAAAACGTAAACTAGATTAAAGTTAGAAAGTTTTCAAATATTAATATGATAAACTAATTATATAATTACTATTTTGTCACAAATTGCGTTCAGCCTAATAAGACTTTTTAAAATAAATTTGAGTGTAGTGGATAATGAAATTCGCGTAAATTAATTATTTAGTAAAACAAATTAAGTGGGCAATTCTTATAACATAGCGTAGTTATGGCAAAGCTATCTTACGCTTGTTTCTTGGTAGTAAAAACTGTGAAAACAATCTTCTAATTGCTGTGCGATTAAGCGTATTTTACATATAAACAAACAAGAAAAAATGTACTGATAATAAAATCTTTGATGATGCAGTTATCGTAGGATTCTTCCTTCCGTGTTTATATGTAAAATACGCATGATAGTGATATTGTTTATGAAAGTTTGTACCTACTCGTCCACATAGATAACCGTTGATAACACTATTTATATTAGATATTTTTTTGTTATAATTTATTTTTGTTAATCAAGACTTTGATGTCTTATTTACAAAATTGATATGTGCAGAAAGAAAATACAATAAATAGAATATAAATTAAAAAAAGTTAAAATAAAAATAAAATAAAAACAGTAATACAAAAACTAATAACATAAATGAACTATGACGTGATGATGTATGCCGCGTACTAAGTCAGGGCGCGTGCAGACATTGGGCTAGGTGTTTGGTAGATCGGAAGGCCATTTTTTGCTTAGTCTTCTTAACGGTCTGTGAATCGCTTGAATAGTAGAATTTGTATGCTGGATTAATTTATTGTTGAATGATGAACTTCTAATTTTGATCATTTCGTTGACTGTAGATATTTCCAAATTCATATGTAGACAAAAGTACAAAATATACCAAGGCGCATTAGTTAGGATACGCAGAATTTTGTTCTGGCACCTGCTAATATTATATATGACTACAAATTTGATTATACTATAATCAAATATTGCATAAAAGACTTGGAACAACGGACACGTCACATTGTATATATAAAATTCTCGAATAGGTAAGCTTCTTTATTAACTTACCGTCCCCTGGCTAGATCTTTTCAGTGTGCAGGGCAGAGTGGCCGATCCTCCGCTCTGCGCCTGGACTCTGGTCCCATTGGGAGTCAGGAATGCATGATTCGTCTTTCCGACGCCGATTATTGAATTCGTTTTGTCTTCCGACGAGCCGTGAATATGCGATCTACGGTGTCTCCAACTATAGTCTGGAAATAGAAGGAAAAAGTTTAGATCTTTCTAATTACGAATGATATAGATTTTGATTTTATCGAAAACTAGTGGGGTGCAAATTCCTGAAATTTTCCTAACCGAAATTAAAAATCTTGGTACGGAACCCAAAAAAAAGTACACAAAATGTGTACACATTATTAAAATCTCTATATAATATCTGATAATTTGATGTACATATGTTCAGTAATTATTTTTGACCGCCAAATGACATTTTTTTAAGTTATTTTTATTGAGATTCCATAACCGCTGCACCTGGCTCCCTAAAAATTCAATCAGTTTTTTAACAATACAAGTAAAATGTTTTTTGAATTATTAAAATCGGACGTTACGTTCTCTTAAAAACTGAGTTACCGTTTTTGGCACTTTTTGCCCCATACTATCGGCTAGATCTGCCTGCAAAAAAAAAAACTAATCAGTACGTCTCCTTATCAATACGAATCGAATGTTTTTTGAATTATTTAAATCGGGTGATCGATGTTCCCGAAACCTACGACGAAAGTTTGTATCCGCTAGATTACTTATCTATGGGTCCCGTGCCTATGTTCAAATTATCAGATAGTTGCTTGTTTTATATGTGTTATTTGTGGTGATATAATTTGTTTGGTTTTCAAAATATAATTGCTTAAATTTAAATTAGAGAGCACAAATTCCTTCGTGCTCTGCGCTACTCTATAGTTATTAGTGTCATTTTCCAATCATTAATAAATATGATTTTGAGTTGGCGTTTCCTTATTAACAATTGCACCTATTTCAAAATTTTACAAGCCATTTGATGAAACTATATGAGGACTTATCATAATGGTATGATTTCATCAAACCGCTTCTCAAAAATTACCAGAAAAAAATTACCAATTTATTTAATAATAACTATATTCTGAATCTAATAACCGAGTCTATCCACCACTTAATATTTCCTCAAATATCTCTCACCGAGTAAATCAAGGATTGCTTTCTCCTTATTACAAGACTAATCTCTTTGGTCTAATCGATTTCGAATAAGCGCGTGTTTCGTGTGTGAGCCTGTGCAGAAATGTCTTAATTTAGTGTTTCGGCCCAGAATTGCGTTTTAGTATAGCAGTGTGTACAAGCGTTGATATATTAGGGACACTTCATCAAACGCGCCAGTAGGAGTAGAGGTAGGATTGCAGGATTGTAGGAAGATACATAGAACAAAAACAACAACGAGATAATTCCGTGAGCTGAACTGAAACACATTCTGGATGTGGAATACAACGATTGTCAAATTCATTGTGTAGGGTATAGCAGGGCTTGAAGATCCACGACTAAAAAGGTGTGCCATCATTAGCTCAAAAACAAGTAAAATATGGAATTTTTAAATGATAATATTTTAAGTCAGGGTTCGTTTGTAGGTGAGCGGTTAAGAGCGATGGGACCTGAATCAGAGGTTCCGGGTTCGATACCCACTTCGAGCAGCCTCTGTTGTCAGGCATCAGTGACAACGGATTTCACTTGGATATATAGATAGCAATATGTTTTCAAGTGAAATTAGCCCTCAGCCGGCATTGCTGCACCATTAAAAATACTCGCCCTATTACAGAAATTGTAGGGGAAAGCCGGTCTGCGCCAACCACCGGACGCTCTATTTAACACGAATTATTTAAAGCCAGTATAAATCTTTTTACTTCAAACTACAAGTGAAAGGGGCACTGGGGACATACAAGTACAGAAGCACGCGCCAGGACTCGCCTGTGACGCACACGGCCACGGCGAGAGCAACCCTTTTCTGTTTTAGGCGCAAAATCACGACGTCACCTAAATATCAATGGAAGTAAATCTAGCATATTTATGCATTTACATTTAAGTGGCCTGCAAAGATAAAAGTTGTACTTGATTGTTATCCGTAAAATAGTAGAATATTATTAGATCTTTCAACCATCACTTAGTGCCAGAAGTAGACATATTGATATTTCTTGTGAGAATTTACGTAATTTATTCCAATTATTCAATTTTGTTCTCTATGAGTGCTAACGATCACTACATACCTCAATTTTACGTATTTGCGAGTCAAAAAATGAAAAGGTTAAAAATGCACCAGCTGAGAGCATCGGTGTGGCCCAGCCAAAAGGGTGGATGAATAGTGACTTTTTTTGCAATATATAAGAATATTCGTCAAAGACACATGTGCAGGCATTACAGGGTGTGGAGATGGTTAAATATGTGATCAATGCAGGTTATTTCGAAATGTTCGGTACTGGGTGCCGCTTTTTAAAAACATATTTTTTGATAGCAAAGTTTGATTGATATTGATAGTATTAATAATTTCTAAGCAAAGATTGCGGTTTTGTTATTTTAGTTTGATTTTTAACGTTGTTATCTAACATAAATCATAATTTAATAAACATTTCGTAAAATATATTTTGATTTATTTATAAATAACCTTAGGTGTCCGCCACTTAGGGACTTTCCCCTAATAATAATATATCATACAGAGATGTGACAACTGTTTAGGTTGCCATCTGTCAAACAGTCTAGGATTAAGGCAAAATTAGCACTAAAACTTATAGGACTATTAGGTTCTGATTGCTGTTCAAAAATAAAAAAATAAAAAAAATAAAAAAAAACAATAAAAAAATATGAGTAGAGTAAGAGAAGTAAGTTTTCGCCTTAAGTCGTGCGACGCTGTCAGTTTTTTAATGAAAGTATTTTTAATGAAATTTCCTATCAATTTTCCTGGTAATTTGAAAACGTCGATGTATATACATATATATTGTTATCCATAGAACATGTTTATGTTGCGTAACAACTAGAACAATGTATTCATTGCCATTAATTTTATCAAATGAATTGCCACAATAACGATAACATAGAAAGCGCGTTAAATTTTATCTGATGCTTTTACATATTACGCTTTGTAAATTTGACAAAGGAATAAATTATTTGGTCATTTCGACAATTTCCTGCTTTTAAGATAATTAAAACAGGACCTTTGATAATAGTGCTGTGTTTGATAAAGATATTATTTGTTGATTGTGAAAACTCTATTAATGCATAGAAATATAGAAAAACGTTATTGTTTTATATTTCACTGTTTAATTTTGTTAAAAGTAGTAGTTAAACAAAAAATAGTAGAAGAAATATATAATTCATATGGTAATAATAATATTGATTTTTAAACATAAATATTTTAGAACAGTTAAACTAACATTTGTTTTGGTAGCAATCTCACATTGGCAACATTTTCTAATTATGATATTAATAATTATGTTTTTTCAGAATTCATAATTTCTAGTAAAAATTTAGTGTTTCCCAATGGGATATTTATTAAACTGTAGTAAAACTTTCATTTATTAAAACATTAAAACATTTATAGTTATATTACCATATCATTTCTATTTAATATGATAATAGAATTTAGCAAATTCCTATTAAGAAATTGGAAAATTGTTTTTCTTAAAGTTATTAGTAAATTTTAATATAATATATACGTTTATATCTATCTATTTTTCAGATTTAATTATATTACTCATATTTATTAAAAATATAGTATTTTGCATTTTCAAATTGAGGTATTTGTTAACTTAAATTTTAACTCACCCCAAAATTGAAAATGAATTTTTTTGCATATCTTCACGTTTGGAAAGTTTCTGAGCATTTTGGCATACCTCAGAAAAATTGGATGTGTGTGTTGTATGTGGATACAATTTTTTCGTCCACGATTTGATTTCTACTGATGGTCCAACCGTTTTGGAGATACGGAGCGAAGAGTGCAGAAAATAGAAATCCAGTTGTTGAAAGCGCGGAGCATCCGATTTGAATGATTCAAAAAATATTCAATTTGTAATAATAGTGAAAAGTGGTTACTAGTTTTTAGCAATGACAGGTTCAGCCAATTTTGAGATAAGGAGCTAAATAAATTGGATAAGTACTTGCGTAACTAGTTTTGCGACTGGCTGAGCCATTTCTTTGAAATTGGCACAGAGTTGTAAAAAAATCGTCAATTTTTTTTTATTCAGCAATATATTTAAGTAACATTAAGTAAATATTTTGGCAATTATATGTAAAAAGTCATCAAAAATGGCCAATCGACTTTGCAATTATAGAAACCCTTCAAAAACATTGGTTGAAAATCGTGATAATTTTTGGTAAAGATCGGCCGGGAAGTCATTAATTGCAGAAAATGTGTTTTGATGATTTTTAATGTAACTTTTCTTTTTGATATCGATTAGGTTCCTGAAATATTATTGGTCTACAAAAACTGGTTTCAATATACAAGATAACTAAATTAAATATGGATTATCCTTCAAAACAATCCTCTGCCACGTGTATTATATCTTACAAAAATATGTACATCTAACACTGACTCCGAGTATATATAAAATATCAAATCATCAGCTTATACTGTACTGTATGAAATCACTGAATTGCTACCTCGATAAAGAGAGCAAATTTAAAATGTAAGAGAGCATCTCAGTACGAGATTGCACGTCAGTTATACGGACGGACAAGTTGTGTGCATTAGGTAACCGGCTTATGCACTCACTCTGTCACTTAAGACCTCCGACCGACAGACCTCCAGACCGCCACACCGCCACACCGCCGCCAAAGCCCGCCACTGATGGAAATAAAACCTCAGTCGGAATTGTGTTCCAGAAAACACTACAATATTTACAGTAAAGAAACATGCTCAGAGAGAGATATTGTGAATAGTTGATTTTAGTCGCATTAGACATAAGACGAGTTGCAAATATGTTTTATGGGATAAAATCTACATGTTCAATATAAATTCAACATCTATTATTAACTTTAAACATATTTATCGTCCCAAAGGGCGAGTATAAATTACCAGAAATTCGCATTATGCTCTATGACATGTTGGAGACCATCGATCTAGTGATGCACGACATCGAGTCTTTTCGTTTCGCTGAAACTTTTTGTACCGCAATTTTAAATTTTAAAATGTGTGATTTTTAAATTCTCGTTAAAATGTTATAGTAATTGCGAAAAAATCAAAAAT